GCGCCGCCGCGCAGGCAGCCGCGGCAGAGGCCGCAGCGCGGCGGCGCGCGGGCGGCAGCGCCGGCAGCGGGCTGGTCGGGGCGCGCGCCGGCTGCCAGGCGAAGCTCGTGCAGCAATGCCACCAGGTCGGCGCCTGGGTGAAACCGTGTGAATGACACAATGTTGATGACAGGATGAGAGCATATTGCATGTGCGTGATTTGGCGGTGGGGCGTAGGCGGTTGCGGCTACATGGGGAGGAGGACACAGTGTGAAAGACTCTGTGTGAAAGTGAGAGAGCCACGGCTTCCAAGGTACCTGACTTCGGGATTGCACCAAAATCAGGGCGCAATACAACACATCAAGCTGCCGGCGCATCGGGAAGGTTTGGGGCCTCGTGAGGGACGCGGGGCGTCACTCACAGCAACTGGGCGCGGGCGCCCACCCCCAACCGCCTGGCGCCTGCAGCAGGGCGCTGCCCTTCTGCATGCCAACTCGCGCGACTCGGCGGCAACCCCAAGCTTTGGGCTCGCCCGCGACGCAGAGCCCCATCGCCTTAGGCAAAGCCACACCACACCCACCACACCCAAACCACCCACCCGTGCGGCGCCGCCGCTGCTCCTGGGGGTATGACTCCAGCGGAAAATTGAGGCCCAGGCCCGGCGTAGGCCCTGACAGTGCCAGCTGTGCCCTGTTGTTGGGATGATGGCAACGATGGGCGCCGAGGGGTGTGTGTGTGTTTGTGTGTGTGTGTGCGTGCATGTGCGCGCGTGTGTGAGAGCTATGTGTGTGTGCCCGCGCATGGTATGCATAATGTAATCCGTGCGATGCAATTGTGGTGTGTGTTATAATGTGTGTATTGATATGCGCGTGATGTGGTCGTGTGTGTGTATGTCGGTGTGCGTGTATGGTATGCATGTTTGTGGGCCTGTGTGTGTTTGTTGTTCAGGGTTGTAGTGCTCGCTCTCTCTCTCTCTCTCTCTCTCTCTCTCTCTCTCTCTCTCTCTCTCTCTTTGCGCGCGCGCGTGCGTGTGTGGTTTCACAAGTGGATTTGCGTCAATCGTGCTTGGTAGGTAAGTGTGAGCTGCAGTGTCATCCAGGAGGCAGCTGGAATGGCCGCTGCAGCAGGAAATGGGACAGTCAGAGGGGGCTGGCCGCAGCCAGGCATCAGGGGACAGCAACAGCAGGACCCCTGAGCGGGCAAGTCTGAGCAGCACAGAGCGCCACGGTCGCGGCGGGCGCAGGAGGCGGCTCGCCCGCCCGTCTCCTTTGCTTGACGCGCACCGCCGCCGCGCATCACCTGTCGTGCGCGCTCGCCGCGGCGTCCTCTGAAGCGAAGCCCCGGCCGACCACCAGCCGCCGCCGCGTGCGCCCGTCGCCCGCGCCTGCGGCCGCCGCCGCCGCGGCAGCCGCAGACGGGTCGAGGTCGATGCAGCAGTCCCAGGTGCGGCCTGTGGGGGCCGGCACGACGCCTGCAAAGGCGCTGGCAGGGGCCTGCGGGCGGGGTGGGGTGGAGACGCGAGGGCAGGACAACGTATGTGTCGGGCGGGGCCTGATGCGCCCTGCCGGCTCAGCCCTCGCAGCATAGCGCCCAGGTAATGCGGCGGCGGTCCTGACTCGAACGCCCGCGCTCGCCACGCGCGCGCCGCACCAGTCCGGCCCGCAGCGCCTCGCGCCGCCGCTTCGCCTCCTCGCCGGCCGCCGCCCGTGCGCCCCGCGCCGCCGCCCGCGCCGCGGCCGCGTCTGCCTCTGCTTGCACCAGGGCTGCCGAGGGGGCGCCGCGGTCTGCCTTCAATTCCTGGAAATACGCATCCAGCTCCTCATCTGGTGGTGTACACGATCATAGTTTGGAGTTATTGTTGATTGGTGGGACATCAACAGAGTGATGGCATGTAATTGGTGGCAGCTGAGGTTTTTGGGTGTTCTTGTGACAAAGATGAGCGGCGTCATCATGATGTGGTGGGACACGCATGGCTCGTGCAAAGCAAGGGGCAGAGGTAAGCCCAAGGCGTAAGGAAACCCAGAGCATGCACTGCGGCATCCAAAACAGGCGATCCGTAATTCTCGACAGGGCAAGCCCTCGAGCACCGAGGCGGGGCGCCCCCGCCCGCCCGCCGCGGGCGCCGCGCGGGTCTCAATGTTGCGCGCCGCGCGCGCTTCGCCACGCACCCGTGCGGGGCCGCGCCGCGAGCTCTGCTGTGTAGTGATCCCGTGGGAAGTTCAACACCAGCGGAGCCTCTGGCCCGTACAGCGCCAGCAGCGCCCTGGGCGCGTGGGCCAATCCGGTGAGCGCGCCGCAGCAACAGGTGGAAGGGTTGGAGTTTTGCGAGGTTGGAAGTGCACGCATGCAGTGCACGCACGCATACACGCAGGGGCGACAGCCCTCACGCATCACGTACTGCCTCAACATGCAGTCCCCAGTGACCCACGATTCGATGCCAGTGAAAAGGTGCCTCTGGACACCGCGAGAGCGCACTGTTATGTGCGCACTAGCGCTACCCACTGCGCCCGCCGGCACTGGCGCTACCCAGCGGGCCCGCGCCCCTGGCCCCCGCAGTCTCAGCAGCCCCCCGCTCTCCCCACCGCCCGCAAGCGCCCGCTCGCCTGTCGTGCGCCCTCGCCGCCGCCTCCGCCGAGCAATACGTGTTGCCAATCCTCAGGTTGCTGGCCGCCAAGCCCAGGGCCGCCCTCAGCTCGGTCCCCAGGCTCACAAACGCCCTGAACAGCGGCTTCTGGTTTGTCTGCCGCTCCACCCCGTAAAAATCCGCTGCCGCCTCGCCGGGCGCGACCCGGTCGCGGTCGTCGCGCCTCGGGGCCAGCTTCTGAAGGGATAAGGTGGTTTCGGGATGACGAGATTTCGAGAGCCCCTCCCTCTGTCACTAATCTCAGCAATCATAACGCTTGGAAAGTCAAACAGGAACGAGAGCCCAACGGCATGCAGGCGCGCTCGCAAGCAGCAATTGCAAACGGCAGGGGCGCCGGCCAGCACAGAAGGAGCCTCCGGCCCCGCAGCCGCGCCCGCCCTCCGCCCGTACCTTGCGCTTCCTATTTGAGAAGCGGACCGCCGGGTACAGCGCTGCGTGCGCGCGCATCTTCACCCATTTCGACGCGTCAGACCGCAGCACCGCCTCCAACGCCTCCAGCTCCCCCTCCGCCGGCGCCCGCGCCTCCGCCGCGCCCGCGGCCGTCCGCCGCGGCGTGCGCGCGCGGCGCGGCGGCCGACCGTCGCTCGGTGCAGGCTCGCCGGGGGACCGCGGGCGCAGCTGGCGGGACTGATGTGAGGGGGCGCCGTCGCTCTGCTGCCCCGCCAGTTTGGTCGTGCGCTGCCGGCCCGAGGCGTCCTCGGCTGCCCCGCTCAAGCCTTTTGAGGTCTGCAACTCCTGCTGCTGATGCTGCTGCCCTTGCTGCTGCTGCTGCTGCTGCTGCTGCTGCTGCTGCCGCCCCTGCTGCTGCTGCTGCTGCTGCTGCTGAGACGATTCTGGGTCAGTTCCATCAACCGCTGCCAGGCCCTCTCCGCCGACCCCGTCCAGACTCGCTGCCCAGAACCGCGCCGCACGCCCTGTAGACGGCGCCCGCTCGGCCGCCGCCGCCGCGGCGAGCGGCCGCGGCGGCGTGGCTGCGGCTCGCTCGGCTGCGCCAGGATCGCCCTCTGCTACGGCTGGCAGCGCCGCAGAGCGCGCTCTGCTGCGCTTGCTTCGCGCGCCTGCGCTCGCAGCAGGCGTCGGCGACAGCGCTGCCGCAACATCCATGGCAGGGCCGGCTTGCGCCGTCCCCTCAGACGCCGCCCGCCTCGCCCCGCTGCGAGTGGCCCGCGCCTGTGGCAAGGCCGGACCGCCTGCCGTCGCCACCAACGCGGCTGCTGCAGGCGGGACGCCCGCAGTGTGGCGCGCGCGCGCCGCGACGGCGCCGCGGCGTCGGCGGCCGGGGGGTTCGCTCCATTCGCCGTCGCTGCCGCTGCCGCCGTCGGAGGCGCCGGCACCGCTGCTTTCTGGCCCGCTGCTGTCACTGCCACCGTGCCTGGGACTACCATCCTCGAGACCGTCGCAGTTGACCGGGGCCCGCCGCGCTGACGATCCCCCTGGCAGCGCCGCCGTCTCTTCTGCACCTATGCCTTGACGTGTGGGGCTGCCGCTCTGCCGCTGCCGCTGCTGCCGCTGCGACACAGCAGCCGGCGGCAATGGCGAATGCTGAGCTTGCCATGTGCGCCGGATGCGCTTGGCAGGCGGCTCTTGCCCGTCTGCTGGTGAGGTGGACGCCTGACGGGCAACAGCAGCTGCGGCAGCGGTGGTCGACGGCGACCTAGAGTCGCCCGCTGCCTGTTGGCGGGTTCGCCGCTGGCCCCTAGGCAGATGCGGGCCTTCTTTCAAATTCAAAGGGCGTGCTAGTGAATCCTGCCGGGTGTTCAGATCGGCGCGGGCTTTCTCTGGCGTGTTCATGCGGCGATCACCTCATGGTGGAATAAGCCCACCTCAAAATAATTTGATATGCCCACTATCAGACTCGCATGTCTAATACAGCAGCAATGCCGCCGGTGACCACCGCCCTTAGTCATCCGGTGTGGGTGATGTACTGCTACTCATGTGCTGCACCTCATCGCCAGCCATAGACATGCACAGCTGGAGGTGCTGAGAAGCATAACTCAACTACCTTGGAGTGGTAGTCCGCCACCACCGTCTCACGAGGGGGGTTACAGGCCCAGACATGCAGCTGGTAGGTATACTATACGCAGTGCTACAAAACTTGCTGGTCCTCAGACATTCTCTGATTGACTCATGGGGGGTGGTAACCAACCTCGCCACCGCCAAGGCGGAGAAACCCCTCAGAATACCATATTTGAATGGCAAAGCAGCAAACCATCCCGCAGCATCCGTAAAGCGCACTCAATGGAAACCACCAGCGGCAAGCGCCGCCAAAGACCGCTGCGCCTCCATCACTGCCCCCTCTGCACCCTCTCCTGCTGCAGCTGGCCGCACTCTGCCTTGTGCCCGCTACGCCAGGCCGACTTGGCGCAGGCCTCGGAGCAGTACCTGCGGGAACAGATAGAGGTGTGGCATGCAAGGACCAAATTTGATGGGTTGTGCACCAGGCAAGCAACTGCCCAGCGTCGGTCGCAGCCCCAGCCCACGCGTGGAAAGGAGTGCAGATCGGGGCCCTCTCCTTCGAGACCCAAGGACTACTCAACCCCACGGACATTGCAGCAAAGGTGCATCCCGCATGGCAGGGTACATAGCCTTTGCTTTATGCCATCCCACCTGACGGCTCTGCAGCCACTGCACATGCGCAGCTTGAAGCCTTCTCCGGCGCCGCGGCCGCAGACCGCGCATATCTTGTCTTGCAGCTGCCCCGCCCGCCGCTGCTGGCGCTCAAGACGCAGCCGCAGGCGTGCCGCCACGCCGGCCGCCCCCGCGTCGCCGCCGCCGGCCTCGGCCGCCGACAGGGCGCTCAGCAAATCAGGCGCGCTGCGCAGCACAGCTGCGCACGCGTCCTCCCCACCCAGCCTGGTGATGTCATCGAGGGCCCGGGCTGCGGCCTCCATGGTGCCCACCAGGGAAGCCAGGCCGCCAAGCAGGCCTGGGGTGGAGCACAGCATTGCAGGCGGCAGGGCCGGCGCCAGGGCGGCCAGCACCTCGGCGGCGGCCGCCTGGGCAGCGGCGGCGGAGGGCGCGAGGGGCCGGCCTCCAACCATGGGGACGGGGCCGGGATCGCCGTCCGAGCAGGAGCGCAGCGCGCGCACGGCGCCCTCTAAAGCACCAGGGGCTGCCTCAACCGCCCGTGCCACACGCTCCAACGTTCTGGCGCTCGCCGGCTGTGCCTCTGGTTGCAGCGCGTCATACAAAAGCAGCAACCCCAGCCGCTCTGCCCAGGGATCGCGGCAGGACAGCAGCTCGGCCACGGCGGCGAGCGCCCCTGGCTCGGAATGCAGCGCGGCTGCCACGGCCTGTGGCGCGTCATCCCGCACGAGGTTGACGACCATGACGGCTGGAATCAAGGAGCGGGGTTGGCTCCGCGCCACCACAACGAGCCTCGTCAGCCAGCCCCTCGCAGCGGCGACCGCGGCCGCCCCGCGCGCGCCACACTCGTGCACGAGGCAAATTAGGAGGGCCAGGCCGGGCTGTATTTCGCCGTGCCAAGTGTCGGCGCAGTGCAGGAGCTTGTCGACAGCCCCGGGCACTGCGAGCAGTGCGTCCGCCACCGTGGCAGAAACGCTGGGCACGATCGTCAGGGGAGGCACATCCTGTTGTTCCCCTAGCAAGTTGATTGGAGGGGATTGCTTTGATGATTGCAGCTGGATAATCATGAGTCAGCGCGGCTTGACCGCCTCCGGCTTGTACATTTGTATCACAAAGCAGCATTGCCTACGCGCTGACGCGCTCAAATTGCCCAGACCCTGCAGTGTGCACACATGCTCGACTCTGAACCAACCGCACCAGGGAGAGCCAGTGAGTGAAGAAGCTGCAAGGCAAGCGTCTCCTCATTTGCGCCACTCGCACGCCTGAACGCCTGCGCCACGGCAACAGGCAGGCAAGAAGCAGCGCACGCCTCCGTTGCCATGTCAGCAGCTGGCGGCTCAGACTCGGCCGCGGCAGCAGCAGCTGCCGTCGCCACCGCCACGGCTGCCGCGGCGATGCTGCCGCTCGCCAGCTCGCAGGGGCCGGGGGGCATGCCTGCGACTTGCGCCAGCGCGGTGCCGGGCTCCTGTGCCAGCGATGCGGCCATGGTGAGCGCGGCCATCCGGACAAAGGGCTCTGTCCCACGAAGCGCGGCGCACACGACGCCGACCACGGCCCTGTCTCTGACAGCGGCGCGCCGCAGCGCGTGATCTGCTTGCGAGAGGTCTGCGAGCAGCATCAGCATGGACGTGATAGCTGTCTTCTGGTTCATCGCGCATGCCACGCTGAGCTGCGGGTTGCTGGGTTGGCCTTGCATGACAATCTTGGCAGTGCAATCTGCCTGGGCGGCCACGGCGCGCAGCAGTGCCGCCAGCAGCGCCTCGGCACGCGGGGCAAGAGAGAGAATGGCAGGGGTCCCCTGTGGCGAAGAAGCGATCGCCTGAAGGGCAAACAGTGCAGCTGAATACTCTTCAGACGGGGCGCCCGCCGCCGCCATGCGTTGCATTAGCGCCGCCACAACTGGCCTGCACCCGGCGGCCTGGTCCTGCCGCGCGGGGCTGTTTGAGACCAGTTCTGCAAGTGCCTGCAACCAAACTTCAGAGTTGCGCGCATCGGTCCTGGAGGCGCGCAGCGCAAGGTCCCGCCACAAGGGAGCTGGCAGCAGCGCTTCTGGCTCCGCGTCGCACGCCTCGCTTACTGCGCTATGCGCAGCGACGAGACGTGACACTTCATTGTTGTCTATGGCATCGCACAGGGTCTCGAGGGCCTGCTCTAACGACGTCGAGGACGTTGCGCGTGATCTGGAGTTTACCGCCATTTGATGCAAGACAGACGCGGCTGGGGTTGTGTGTGTTACTTATACGGTGTGGTGAACGGCACAGCCCGAGGCGTGCCAGCCACTGTTGCTGGGCGGCTTGTCGTCGCCGGACTGTTGTTCACACCTCGGCGATATGCGGAGCCGTCAGGCAGTGGTCTAGCAGTGACAAGCACAGATCCCCAGTGAATTTTCAAATGGTGACATGCACAGCTCTTGCCAAATATCACTTGAGGCCGATCGTTTTGATTAGAGCAATGACGCCACCACGCCAGGACCTGGACCTGTTGATTAGTGTGAGGTGACTCATTCATTGACCGCCGCTTGCTGTTTAGGAGCATACGTTGCGATATTATTATTAAACGTTATTATATTGGCGGGTATAAGGCTTTGTCACCAAGGGCAGAGCAGAAACACATGGTAAGCCTGTCTGCATTCAAAACCCCCATGCAAATTGAGTCCATTGCAGCAACGTCGGCTGATGACCGACTACCCCCGCCGAGGATTGCCGAAGGACATCGCATTATGTGAAACAGGCTGCATGCAGTCCTTCTCGCCTCGCCTCAACACAACTCAGGCCTTCATGCATCCCTTGCTCCCGTTTATGTTGTTACCAGCAGAGTATGGAAAGCGCCTCCAATGTGCAAATCTCCAGTCTTGGTGCCGCCCCCAGGTGCTGCCTGCAGGCATGTGCCGCTTGTTCAGCAGGTGCCGTGTCTGCAAGAAATTCACAAAGGCTGCTGGCAGTCCACGCAGGTGCAGGCCTGTTTAGGAGCGCTGCCCCGCCACAGGCGGCGCGCCCGGCACAGGCCGCCCACGTGACGGCCGCCGCCGTTGCGGCGGTGCGGCTGCCGCTCTCTCAGCTGCGCCAGGGCCGCCGGCGGCTGCAGCTTGCGGCGCGGCTGTGCACATCCTGCTGCGCGTGCTGCGTGCGCTTGCGCTGACTGTAGGTCTCAACAGCAGCGCCGCCGTCACATCCAGGGCAGGGCCGATCGGGGCCATCCCCTCAGACGCCGCCCCCCTCGCCCAACTGCGGGTGGCCCGCTCCTCTGTCACTGCCCCTTCTGCCCCCTTGCCTGCCGCAGCTGGCCGCACTCCGCCTTGTGCCCACCACGCCAGGCCGACTTGGCACAGGCCTCGGAGCAGTACCTGCGGTAAGAGACGTTTGACATAAACAAACCCATATAGGGCTTGTGCACCAAAACAGCAACTGCCCAGCACTCACCGCAGCCCAACCCCACGCAAGGAGAGGAGTGCGTGCCAGGCGCCTCCCCTTCTACACTCATGGGCGATGCAGCAACGTTGCATCCCGCACGGCAGGTTAGATAGCCTTTGCTCAATGCCATCCCACCTTACGGCTCTGCAGCCACCGCACACGCGCAGCTTGACGCCATCTCCGGCGTCGCGGCCGCAGACCGCGCAAACCTTGTCTTGCAGCTGCCCCGCCCGCCGCTGCTGGTGCTCAAGGCGCAGCCGCAGGCGCGCCGCCAAGCCGGCCGCCCCCGCGTCGCCGCCGCCGGCCTCGGCCGCCGACAGGGCGCTCAGCAATTCAGGCGCGCTGCGCAGCACAGCTGCGCACGCCTCCTCTCCGCCCAGCCTGGTGATGTCATCGAGGGCCCGGGCTGCAGCCTCCATCTTGCCCACCAAGGAAGCCAGGCTGCTGAGCAGGTCTGGGGTGGAGCACAGCAGCGCAGGCGGCAGGGCCGGCGCCAGGGCAGCCAACACCTCCGCCGCGGCCGCCTGGGCGGCGTCGCGTGAGGGGCTGAAGAGTCGGCCCGAAATTGTGGGGACAGGGCTTGTGTCGCGGTCCAAGCGGGAGCGCAGCGCGTTCACGGCGCCCTCTAAAGCACCAGGGGCCGCCTTGACCGCCCGCGCCACACTCTCCAACGTTCTGGCGCGCGCCGGCCACGCTTCTTGCCGAAGCGCGTCATTCAAGAGCAGCATCCCCAGCCGCTCGGCCCAGGGCTCGCGGCAAGCCAGCAGCTTGGCTGAGGCGGCGAGCGCCCGGGGCTCGGAATGCACCGCAGCCGCCACCACCTGCGGCGCGTCATCCCGCATGAGGTTGACGACCATGACGGCGCCCATCAAGGAGCGGGGCTGGCTCCGCGCCACCACAAGGAGCCTCGTCAGCCAGCCCCTCGCGGCGGCGACTGCGGCCGCCCCGCGCGCCCCACACTTGTGCACGAGGCAAAATAGGAGGCTCAGGCCGTGCTGGGTGTCACCCTGCCGTGTGGCGCAGCGCAGGAGCTTCTTGACAGCCCCGGGCATCGCGAGCAGGGCGCCCGCCACTGCAGCAGACGTGCCGGGCACGATCATCATCGGATTAAACATGCCCAGTTCTGCACCTGTTGGGTTGAATGGAGGCAGCGGGGCTGGCTTGACTACAGCCGAATGGTCAGGACCAAGCGCGATGGGACCGCCTCCGGCTCGTTCATTGCGGAGTGGCAGTGTCTATGCCCTGGCATGCTTGATCCAGTCCATGGACTGTGCACACGTGCTGGACTGCCCTACGTCCGTCGCACCAGGGAGAGCCAGTGACCCTAGAAGCCGCGCTATAAGCATCTCCTCGTCTGCGTCACTGGCATGCTCGAACGCGTGGGCCACGGCAACAGGCAGGCTCGAAGCAGCGCCCGCCTCCCTTGCCATGTCAGCCGCCAGCAGGTCGGGCTCCGCCGCAGCAGCAGCCGCGGCCGCCGCCGCAGCAGCCGCAGCTGCCGTAGCGACGCCGCCCCTTGCCAGCCCGCGAGGGGCGGGCGCCACGCCCGCTCCTTGTGCCAGCGCGGCGCCGGGCTCCTCGGCCAGCGACGCCGCCGTGGTGAGCCCGGCCATACGGACACGAGGGTCTGTCCCGCGCACCGCGGCGCACACGACGCCGACAACGCCCTTGTCTCGGACGGCGGCGCGCCGCAGCGCGTGGTCTGCTTGCGAGAGGTCTGTGAGCAGCAGCAGCATGCAGCACACCGCTCTCTTCCAGCTCTCCGTGCATGCGGCGTGCAGCTGTGAGCTGCTGGATTGGCCTTGCCCAAGATCCTCGGCAGTGCGATCCGCCTGGGCGGCGACGGCGCGCAGCAGCGCCGCCAGCAGCGCCTCGACGGGTGGAGCGCAAGAGAGGATGGCAGGAGTCCCCTGGGGCGAAGCAGCGATCGCCTGAAGGGCCACCAGCGAGTCTGAATACTCTGCCGGCCGAGTGCCCACTGCGGCCATCACCTGCATTAGCGCCGCCACGACTGGCCTGCATCCAGCGGCCTGCTCCTGCCGCGCGGGGCTGCACCTGACCAGCATTTCAAGAGTTTCCAGCCAAATATTGGGCTCGCTTGCATCGGTCCTGGAGGCGCGCAGCGCAAGCTCCCGCCACAAGGGAGCTGGCAGCAGCGCTGTTGGTGCCGCCTTGCACACCTCGTCGACTGTGCTGTGCGCGGCAGCAAATCGTGACACTCTTCTATTCTTTATGACATCGCACAGGGCCTTTACGGCGCGCTCTAACGACGTCGAGGACGTTGCGCGTGATCTGGAGTTTACCGCCATCTGATGTACGGCAGACGCGGCTGGGGTTGTGTCTGTATACTTATACGGTGTGTTGAAAGGCATAGTCCGAGACGTGCCGGCCGCTGTTGCTGGGCGGCTTGTCATCACCGGACTTGCGTTCACACCACTGCGATGCGGAGTTGTCGGGCAGTGGTCCCGCAGTGACCAGCACAATTCTCCCAGTGACTTCCCGTCGACATGACCCACCCTTAAAATTCTCTCTGGGGGCTGGTGGCTATAAGCAGAGCAATGACACCACCACGCCAGGACCTTCTTGAGGCCCCGTTTAGGGTTTGTGGGTTGTTGATCAGTGTGAGTTGACAAATTCGATCGACCGCCGCTTGCTGTTCAAGGGCATGCATTGCGATGCTGGCTAGCACCAGGATTGCTCACCAAGAGCATAGCCCAATCACAAAGCCATTTTGCATTCACACCACCATGCAGCTCCAAACACAAATCATACAGTCCTCCTCGCATTGCCTCAACAACACACCGTGCACCTTGTGCCGCTGTTGCTTCCTCTCATGTTGCAACCAGCAGAACAATGGCAAGCGCCTTCAATGTGCCAAACCCGGCGCTGCCCCCAAGTGCTGCCCGCAGGCATGTGTCACTTGCTCTCAGCAGGTGTTATACATCTGCACGCAAATCGCTGGCAGTCCAGGCATGTCCAGGCCTGTCCAGGAGCCTTTCCCTGTTGAGTTGAGATTCTTTGCAGACGACACTCTCTGATGTGAAGGCCCACCAGCGGCTATCATATCATCATACTCCTGCACGGTCCACAGGCGCGGTTCGTTCAAATGGCCGTTCGAACAGCTGTGCCTCTGCCTCACCGCGCACTGCATTTCAAAGCTCGCGCGTGATGATGCTGGCATCGCAGGCGATAGTCTTTACTGGAGTATAGCGTGTGCTGCCTACATCACAGATCATTATGCAGTTGACCAACTAGAGGCACGGTGGCTGCCGTGAATCTGCGGCAAAATGATGCGATGGCGGGGCGATGACGCATCGAGCCCAGGTGAGCAATATGCGTCATGCGCATGCGTGCCAGGCCAGGCAGTTCACACGGCAAGCCAGCGCTACAGCAATATCACCTCGGTGCATCGATGCGTTCACACCGCACCTGGCAAGGACTACTTTGCTCTCTTCTGAGCATGCTGCTCACGTGCAATTGCAGGCGGCGCCGACCAGACGCCCGATGCGCGCGGGGCGCGCAAGCCGCAGCTACTGCAACAGCGAGGGGAGGTCGACACTGCGGGCGACCAACTCGGGGGCCTGACCCTCGGTGGCGCCGAGGGCGGCAGCGGCGGTGCTGCAGTCGTGGCCGCCGCCGGACCTGCAGCTGCCACACGCAGGAGGGATGCAGTGGCAGCTGCAGCTGAGGCTGCCATGACTTGGGGCACCGC